ATTACCTATTATAACGAAGTTAACAGAATTCTAATTATTTTTTTAAAAAATAGGTTTTTATTGAAACATCAGTGATGAGAAAGAATCATTGATCCGCTATCTCCTGCACACCCCCTACTGGGGATCAAGCCTGCAACCCTGCCAATGTGCACAGATTGGCATCTAACCATGACCTCCTGGTTCATGGGGCCATGCTCAACCAGTGAGCCACATTGGCCCGGAAGGGGGGGGTATTCTTTTAAAACATAAATTTAACCCTTACCTAAGGATGGGATTCGAATTAAAAAAGCTGTTAAAATCATTTACAATGTTTAAAATCATTCTTAAATGTGCGAAATAGTAATTTTTAAGTAAAACATGTTAGAGAATAGTGTGATTCTAATTTTGTAAACTACATAGAATGTAGAGCAATTGTATGCCTTTGAAATGTCAATGTAAGAAAGGTTTAAACCTGTAGAGTTTTTATGTGTTTGAGCCAAATTGAGACAGTTGCTGGGAAGCAAAATCTCAGCGGATTGAGAAAATGCTCCAGAGAATGGCAGCTTTGCACCTTACTTTATACATTCTAATCAAAGGAGGGGGAATAAGGATTACATGAAATCCATTGATAATAGAGCATTAGTAAAGTGGGAGAAAGCAAAGCAGGGAAATCTCTGGGATTGGATAAAGAGTAAAATAAATAGACACATACTTTTACATTTGTGAATATAGGATAATTAGCAGTTAACACGGTAACAATAACAATGGGGTTTTGTGGTCTCTGCTCTGATGCAGTGAGGGGTCTGGTAAAAGGAAATTAGCCAGAAATTGCAAAGGTATGTTATGACCAAAGACCTCCCCTGAACTTGTCAGGTTTAATATGTGGTCCCTTTTTGGTCCTCAGAAATAAGACTGAAAGGATAGTTTTAATTATAAAAGTGAAATTACAAATTTTTTATTTTTATTTTAAAATATATTTTTATTGATTTCAGAGAGGAAGGATTGATTTTATTGATTTCAGAGAGAGAGAGAGAAACATCAATGATGAGAGAGAATCATTGATCAGCTGCCTCCTGCACGCCCCACAATAGAGATCGAGACTGCAACCCCGGCATGTGCCCTGACCAGGAGGAATTAAACCATGACCCTGGTTCATAGATCAGTGCTCAACTACTTTGCCATGCTGGTCTGGCACAAATAATTTTTTCTTTATACTTTCTGGTATTTCCCAAATTTTCTATAGAAAAAAAAATTTTAAAATGGAGATAGGTGTAGCAATTCTAGTTATAAAGACTTTTTAAACATTACTTAAAAAAGCAAATAAGTAACAACAAAAAATGTAACTCTTGAAAGGGACAAGAGTTCATTAGTTGGACTGGAAAGGTAAAAAAAAAACAACCATGACAATAATTCTTAGTATTTGTACATCTCATCTGATTTTGCTCTGTTTTCTTTTCACTTAATACAGTAAAATCAAAGAAAAATGTGCTAAGCCTTTCTTCAATTGAGGCAGTGAAATCTTGATTATTTTAATAAATCCACCAGGTGATAAAAAATATGGACATACTAATCTGAAAATATATCCAGATCTGGATATAACAAATCTATCATTTGTTATTTTGTAAGCACTTGACAGTGGAAATGTTAAGCAATTATTATAAAATGGGAATTTTAAATTTGTTTTCATTGAATCACTTTGAGTACTATGTTTGATATTTTGAATTTATGTTAATTTTTGTTTCCTATTATGGGTATGTTAGATATGGTAGGTAAGTAGCATATTATTAAGCCTACATTTTGTTGTGTGTTTTTCTTTCCATACAGGAAGGGCCATATTGTTCTATAGGAACAGTTGATGTATTTTTGTTAATTATCAGCCTTGAAAAATTGGGGTTTACCTTTTTGCCATTTTACTGTGTTGGCTCAATATCTTAATAGATGCATGGGTCCATTTACAGGACATAAGAAGCATGTATAGTTAACATGTTTGATTTATGAACTGTTCACAAGTATTGTGGCTCAGGTTATATATTGTATTCTTATGCAAGTTAAATAAGATTTCTAAAAATTAAGTGAACTGCTAAGATCATAGAAGTAGCAGTTTCTGAGCATGTTAAGAATGTGGACACAGCAGCAAGGCCTGTATGCCCAGGGTGTTTTAAAACAGAAAATGCAGACTCATCTAACACTGCGGAACTACTAGAGGCTGGATTGTTTTTGTGTTGGTGTGTGGTTAAGGTGAGGAAGTTGCCAATTGTAAGTGGTAATTTACATTTTCAAGAATTGTCTTCCCGGCAGTTAAGCAATTTTGACTAGATTACAACAGCTAAAAAAATACAAGTCAGCTTCAAAGATCATGTCCAATAAACTTGAAAAAAATATCTCAAATTGAATTCTAAAATGAAATTTATCTCTGTAATATGGGGAGGATTACAGCTAACTGATGAATTTTGGGATTTTTATTTTAAGGGCATTTAATGTGTGGAAATCTGTTTAAAGGTCTGTAGAGTTATCTGAAGGAAGTATTAGAAAATGAGTTAAGTAAGTAAAAGAATTTTCTCTGTCATCCTGGGAAGTCAAAATCTAATTTTTCATTAGTACTTGTCTATAAATTACTATCCTGAAACCTTACTTCTGGTTCATATTGCCAGTGCAATGGAATGTAAAAAAAAAAAAAAAAATTTGGATTGGGAGTCAGATGTTGAATTATGTTTTGCAAGTACTACAATGTTATGGGTCCCTGTTGTTTCTATTTGTGTTGTAAATAACAGCCAATTGCTTTACTTCATGGGATATTGGTGAAGATCAGTCAGGTATGAAAATGCTACCACTTTGTAAGAGGGACTCATGTGAAGTATTATTGACCTGCTAGCATTTCCATAAAACATACGTGTTTGAAGTGTGATGACTCAATGTAATATATACTTTTTTGACTGGGAAGTTTGGAGAAAAGTCAAAGGTGATCTTCATTTGATATTTCTGGTAGAGCTGTTTGGCTTTTTTTTTTTTTTTTGGATTGAAGGAAACCTGGCTCCTCTCCTGATTGTGACTTTGCATTCTGCTGCCTTAAAGGTCCTGAAACTGAAGTGTGCTTTTATGGTTGTGCTTTTAATTTTGGTTTTGATTTGTTTTAATCGCACGTCTAAAGTATAAGGAAGAAAAGTCTAACTTAACAGTAGAAAGTAGATGTTGTTTTTAATATTTTAAAATAGCACTTTAAGTTGAACTGGTCCTCTGAGAGAGAGAAATTATATGTGTAAGCACTGGTCTTTCAGTGCAAGAAATAGTTTAGGCCCTAGCTGGTTTGGCACAGTGGATAGAGGGTGGGCCCAGAGGACTAAAGAGTCCCAGGTACCATTCTAGTCAAGGGCACTTGTACCTTGGTTGCAGACTCTGGTGGAGGGCGCGTCTGGGAGGCAACCAGTTAACGTCTCTCTCTTACATCCATGTTTCTCCCTCTGTGTCTCTCCCCTTCCATTCCACTCTCTAAAACTCAATGGAAAAATATCTTTCGGTGAGGATTAAAAAATAAAATAAATAGTTTAGAACTTAGATGCCTCCTTCTGGGGAAGTCAGCTTTGCCTCTTAGAGCAAGGTTCACATATTGTATACAAGCATAAGTCTTTTAGAAACTTGTCAATAAATTCTGAGGACTTATGAGAATAAATATAAGTAAATAGAGTAAAAGCAAAAAAATAGGTTATTTATTATGGGTTGGTAAAACTGCTTATTTGA